CCGTACCGTATTCTTGTTTGGGTGTGGTCACACCATGCACATCTCGTGTGACCCCCCCGTGTTATCAGAGTTCGTGTAACCCCGTTACAACGCTTGTCTTCGTGTGAGCTCGTATTCCGTGCCCGTGCCCGTGCCCCTACGCGGACAGACCCGTTACAGAGTTGACGAAGCCGTTGGTACCAGTGTACCATGCTCTTCTTAAAGTGCTCAAAATGCCTGTCAACAAGCATATAAGTCACCGCGTCTCTTGATAAGGCCAACAAAGTTGTGATAACTGTTTGATACGATTCGACGGAAGCCGCTCGACTCGTTGCGGGGTAGCAATAATAGCAGACTATCAAATAAATATGAGAGCAGGACGCGTGGGCGCGTCGTTCAGCCAACTGATTTTTCAAGTAGCTTTTGTACCAGAGACCAGTAGAGCGCGGAGAGAAAAATTAACATCTACCCTTAACACTTGCGAATAGTGCTTGGGTGTATGCGTTAAATTATGTTGACTATCAGCATTCACTAGTTTCTCTTTGGCGCCAACAAAAATATATCCAAGGGATATCCCGTTCATAACGTTAGTGTGCGGGCAGATTCGCGCAGATGAAGACCATTTCAATTTGCAAATTATTGCTCTCTTGATGGAAGTATAATATGCAAAATGGCCCGACACGGCACACCTGGTCAGATGGCGTTTGAGTGCAGCAAAGAGACGGATTCATATGCCGAAAAGAACATTCTTCTGTGCAAATCAAACAATGACGGTCTAGTATAATTCGGATCGGGAACTTTGTGTCATTAGTAACACCTCGTTATTGCCGTAATCTGGGATGAACTTTAAGCTAGTACCGACGGCGTAACTATGCTATTGTCGCCATTAATTCCGCCAAATTATAGCTGCAAAAAGAGCATTCGAGTTCACAAGATGCTTCTCACAACAAATTTTGAGCTCTATCTGCTTGACTCGTAATTATTTGACAGCCATTGCAGCGGGGCTGCCGTAGCTTTGAGCTTAGAGGAAGCGTAAGTTAGGTCACCGATCTTTCGTTCTATACTTGGAACAAGAACGAGTTTAGCGAATCGCAATCCGCTTACTCCAAGAATAATTACAACCTTAACCCACGGAAATTAACTCTTCCGTATAAAGTCAAAAAATGTTTTTTTAGTGTCATCTGCGGCAAAGCCGCCTAATTTTAAATGCAAAGAATTTCCTAAATATGTATAGTAAAATCTAAATATATGTATAACTACTGGCTATTCAGCCCTGTGCCGTATTCTTGTTTGTGTGTGGTCACACTATGCCCATCTGGTGTGACACACACTCCTGTTACAAGGGTATGTGTAACCCCGTTACACTCTTCCCATGAAGATTGAGAACATTTAAAGTTCCAATCGATTATTGCCTCAACGAGGCTTGCGTGTCCGTTAGACACTGCAACTTATCGAAACGACTTCCGTGCTTAATGAACGCTGTGTCAATGACGCCAAAATCTCCGAATCTTGCTGGTTCTGACAGCGCTCACGGGCAGAGCCCAACTTCGTCTTCGCACGCGGTGCCATGTCGGACCGTGTGTCCGCGGCATCGAGGGATGTAAATTCTAGGCTCGATGAGCCCGAGCGTCGCGCTCCATGCACACTATCAGTGACGAGTGACCTCGTTGGGATGTGGAGGTGGTCGACTACGAGTCTGACACTCCTTTTCCCGGGTGGATCGACGAGGAAGGCGAGCCGCGCCAGCGGCGTGAGACGAGCCCTGCTCGCGCCTTGCGAACCCCATGTCCGTTTCCTGACCTTTCATCACCTGAGAAACATGGTGTCATCACCAATAACCTCGACGAGGCACAAAGGCGACAGCTAGAAGCTAGAAGCTACCCGTAAGGCGGCTCTGATGCGCGCCCATCCACGGTCAGGCATTGACGCTTGTGTGGAATATGGCTCCCGCCCGGCGGATCCCGCTGTGGAAGCGAAGGACGCGGTTATTCGATCGTTACGCGTCCCCATCATTGGGCTACCGGCCATCACGGAAGCTGGGTTTGCCGAACGGAAAGCTCTTCGAGCTCGTTTCTTGTTCCCACAAGAATTTCCGTTGGACGTTTATCGCACTCGTCTACGTGCACAACGAGGTGGCTCTCGTGTACCCGCAATGCGGACGATACCTGTAGTGCTCGCCCCTGGCAAAAGCGCTACAGATGACGGAGCGCTCTTTGAGCGATGGGTGCAACGGCCCCGAAAGCTTTCATCACTGTATGCCTTACCGTTGATTCACAAGGAAGTGGATGTGCATGTGGAGCTCCACGTTCGGTTTGAGTTTGCCAAACTCAAAGCACGCCGTCGGCCCCTTCAGATCGTCGT